TAGTAGTTAACCTCATTTCTCATCTACTTTTAGCCTGTGTTTTAGTTTATATGAAGTAAAATGTTTTAGGTAGCCAGATTCCTCAACCAAGACGAACAAATTCCAAGCCTTTCCGTCTAATCTCTCCCCAGTTATGCACCAGCAGTCTGCTTGCTTGCAAGTTACCTGGAGATACAATACAACTGTCCACGTCCTATAGGAATATCCTCACCAATGGTTCCATAAGCTTGCAGAATGCGATGGTGGTGATATTATCATAGTAATATATGTTGGCAGAAGTCAAACCTGCGGTTTTTATGAGCATGGGCAAACGAAGAACCAAATAAAATTATCCAAAAAAAAACAACCAAATCAAGCATTGACATGGACCACTCAATGGTATGTGGAGTCTACACCAGTACAAGGGGGAGAGTGCAACGATAACATGATATGTCCGTGTGAAGGAAATGGTAACATGACATGTCCTCACAACAAACAAAACCTCGAAAATAGCATATGCTGAATTGCAACGTTGACACCAAACATCATGGTTTGGATTTAGGATATAAAATATGCATGGCACTCGACTTTTAACAGTTCCCTCATGAACTTCCGTCCACAAACATCAGTGACTTCATCTGCTGGGAGACTTGACCAGCTAAACTATATGAAATAAGCAAACGGGATATCTTTCAACTAGGAGCATTGTTTGAACACAATCTGTTTAATAGACTGTATCATAGCAGCAACTGAAATTCATACAAAGGATTCACCAGAAAGAATACAATGTCAGGAACCAAACATTAGTAACTTCATCCGACGGGCTATTGTTTCATAGCAGTAACCAAAATTCACATTAACCAGGAATAATACAATGGATTGATACATTTACAATGAAATAATTACAAAATGTTGATCTACTATCTATAATTACATCATGGTAATTACCAAAAAATATATTTGTCAGGGGTAATATTTGCTAAGTTCACTGTCAGAATGTTCTAGTGCTACAAATAAGAAGCCCCCCATACTCTATTTGCTTCTGAAAGGTCATGATATCCGTTAGCAGATTCAGATTTTCTTTCTGGAGGGCATATTCATCCGCAGAATAACTAGACCTCATGCCATTTAATGCTTTGCTATTTCCCCTTCCGAATTTCCCTATATATTGCTGAACATCACAATTTTGAATAGTTTTTGCTGGCTCACGAGTGAAAGAGAAACAAGAACTTCTGCTCCGTGGAGTGTCAAAGCCATCAATATCATCACTAGAATTGCTTCTGATTTTCAGGCCAGGGGGATTCATGTGACTAAAGAAAACACTGTCAGACGCGTCCGAGCCAGTTATGCTAATTGAGCACTGGGTTTGGTTTTCAGACTCCTGGGAGGGGGGAAAACATAAATGTCATGGATAAATTCAAGACAAGGATACCCCATGAATCTGCTACATCTGAATGAGAAAACAATATCGACAATCATAGAAGGATGGCAACCACTGATGATCAGATCAGGATGGTTGACATCCTATAAGCATAAAGCATAGTACAGTAGGGATTTAAGGATGGTTCCAAGTTCAGATACAATGCACATCTCATGGGACTTTTATAAACTACGGTCACAAGTAGCATGTTTCATATCAAAAATCAATTAAAGGTTTTCTTTCCAGTTTCACTTTGTTTCTCCCCGAAAAAGATAAGTATATAGAACTTCTGAGCAGAATATTTAAAACTTGGTGTTGTGCCCCAAGAGTCAGACCAATTAACACGTTTGAGACCCTATCAAGCAAAAATAAGAATGCATACATATCCCAACAATACTTCTAACTTGATAATCTAGTTTCTTTTCCAATAAGGGAAGATTTTATTAACTTGATAATCTAGTATAAGATTATACTATTATGCACTTCCAACAACTGTGAACACATTAAGAACCAGTTGAGTGAACTTGAACAACAGGACATACTGAAAACCGATTAACTAACCTCACGGATTCCATGCTGATCAGTTGTAGAGTGGGGTTCATGAAGGCTTGAACCCCCTTTGTGGAAAAACCTACTGTTTCTCCTTGGTGGTTCACTCACCAATGAATTTGGTTGAGGGTCCTCAGGTGATGAGAAATCAGTGCTATCCATTGTCGAAATTGAAACACATTCCTCAAAATAATTCATTGCCTCTTCAGCTAAATGCCTTGACACTTTCATTCTTTCTATACTACTCTGGAACCCAAACACAGATGTAACAATCAGTTCCGGAACATGCAGAAAAAAATTGAATATTATCAACAGAAATCAGTATCAAGATTGCACAAATTATTAAGTAGAGTCATCTTTAAGTCTGTAATTACAGCATATTTTTCCAGAAAACATAATTTATGTTATGTGTATTTCATACCTTTCTTCTTGGCCGTTTTTTATGCGTCTCAGTAAAATTTGGAACTGTTACTATGCCCTTTAGCATTCTACTCAACTCCTGTTCCCTCTGTTCTTCAACAGCCAAATCAGCCCGAAGCTTTCGAGCACGTTCATGTGACTGCAAATAAGAGGTAAATGTCATAATTGATGACTGCAATTGACTAAGGGCACAACGTAGCTGGCACAACTGTATGATACCTGTTTGAGTTTTATTGTATACTCTGTTATGTCAGAAGTTTCTTGATCAAACTCAAGAGGAATTTCTATTTGCTCCCATTGCTGTTTTGAGCTATAGTGCCTTAGTTCTGACCCCTCTTCCATGGCGTCCGGGTCATCATGCTGTGCTGCATCGTGTGTTATATCTGTAGCCAACTCAGCAGCATCAGTATCAAAATCAAGAGGGACATCCACAACTTGTTCCTTTCTGTATTCTGATGCATAATCACTTATGTCAGAGATAAACTCAGCAGAATCTGGGTCGAACTCAGGAGGAATCTCCAGGACTGGGTTCGGTGGGACGGTTGAATGGTTCTGCCGCCAAATGACCTAATGATGAAAGAACAGCAGCATCAAGAACAAATAGCACAAGGGAATATAAAATATGAATCAAAGGTCTAAAGAGAATATAGAAGAGAAATTATTAGGAGAAAAGTAATGTTCAGAGAAAAAGGTGGAACTTTTCTCCTCCTTTAGACAAAGCAAGAAGCACTAAGCCAATAACAAAACATTTCCAGAAGAAAACACATTTTCAGACTGGCAGTGTTATATGAAGCACATCATGCTACAAACGTGGAAATGCAACATGTTGCAAACTCAGAGGAAAAAAATGGTTATCATACTGGCGTACACGTTGCAACACTTTACAAAAATACCATTTCCATGTGCATGAAACAGAAAAGCACAAAGCCAATAGATAGAATGATAGCTTAACGAGCGATTCACTAATTCTTACCTGCTCAAGATGATCACCAGGAGAAGAAACAGAAGCGTTAGAAACCGAACAGTTAGTTTGCTCCTTTTGTCGGCACTTCTGTGCAAAATAAAACACATTTTAAGTTACTGATTTGATCATCATGTGAGTAAACATAAACGCCGCGGCATGAAACATTTGAGCAAAGTGTAAAAACTATTCAGATACCACTCCTGCTGCTGACCCTTGCGACGAACAACTTGCAGATGTCCCATCTAACCTATGTTTGTCCTGTAAGAGTGTTACTTCATGAGAATACAAGTTCCTACATGGCTTACACATTTACACGGAGCACATTAAACCATCATCGACAAGGGAACCGGCTTGCATACCTCCGGAACTGAATCGCGACTCCGGCGTGACTGGAATTTCCTTGCCAGGTCCCTGGACTCTGCATCCGTCTGACAAATTTAACAAGACATTCTTTGTTATCAATTAGCAGGGCGCCATGTTAGTTAGATTGATGGACATCAGGACATGGATGCAGATTGGATCTCAGCTACTCTACAAATTTCCCGACTCTGTTGTCCTGGTAGCGCGGTAACAATGTTCTTCTACAGTACTTTCTTGGTCTAAAACTAGCAGGAGTCGCAGTAAAATCACTGGCAAGACTATGTTGTGCGTATTTGACATGGTACATAGCAAAGTGGTATGTAAACTAGCAGCTTCTGATTCTAGCAGGAGCAGAGGAAACAGCATGCATTCTGCGAACCGGTTACAGGAAAAGGGGAATTTTTTTTCTTGTCTGGCACATACCTCGGAGCCCCCGGTAGGGGCGTGCGTCGTCGGTCACCGACCGCGGCCGCGAAGACCTCCTCCCACCGACAGCGGCTGCACTGTCCACCGACGGCGCCGAGTCGGTGCGCCGGCGCTGCGGCGCGACGGACACCGACCGCGCTCTCCCACCACTAACGCCGCGTCCCCCCCCCCCCCCCCCCCCCCCCCCCTCCCTTGACCGGCTGACGCCCTCTGTCCCGCTCCCTCCTGGCAGCATCCCCGCCGCCGGAGCTAGTACTAGTAGCAGTACCAGCTGAGCGCTGCTGCTGCGGAGAGGGGGAGGCGGACGGAGAGGCCGTGGAGTCGAAGAGCGGGTTGGTGCGGGTGTTGGCGTAGTCCTCCGGGAGGTCGCGGCTGCGCGGCGCGGCGCTGACGCTGCGGGAGCGGGAGCGGCGGGGGCAGGGGGGCTGGTCGGAGCGGCCCGAGGAGGAGGAGGCAGTGGCGTGGAGGGAGCGGCGCGTGGTGGACTTGAACGCCGCCGACGCCATCGGGTGGCTGTGTGACAGATTGGTACGGCGCAAAGACAAGAATGGGAGGGAAACGAAAGGGACGGGGAATGCTCTGCTCTGCCGGCGGGGTCGCAAGTTTTGGGCTGAAGGCAGCACGGACCGGATTAGGCGATGACGAACGGGTCCCACCTCTACCTTCGCAGGAGAAGAGCCAACAAAAAAAAAAGAAAGAAAAACAATGGAGATGCGGGGGATCGAACCCCGTGCCTCCCGCATGCAAAGCGGGCGCTCTACCATTTGAGATACATCCCCATTTTGTTTATGTCGATTAACTTTTAGTATTTAATCATATAACAGACATAACGCATCTACAAAATCAAAGCCACCAGAAGAGGGGTAAAGAAACAAAAATAAATGGAGATGTGAGGAGTCGAACCCCAGGCCTTTATTAAGCGTTTAATAATGCTCTACCAATTGAGCTACATCCCCAATTTATTTACTTAGTTGCCATAATTACTTTTATATTTATTACGTTATTTAATTTTGTAGTTCTGAGAGATATCCCTTAAGATTTATCCACCATGGACCACTTCTATTACGTGCTGATGATGCTCCCTCAAAGGGTGAGATAGATCATCTAGTGCGACAATTTATTTACTTAGTTAGCATACTTGTGTTGTCCCAATTAGCAAGACGGGTATTGTTATCTAGTGCGACGTCGACAAGCACATACATGCATCGCTCAACTAGATCGAGTTAGACAAGATTATATGTCTCTTCTCAACTGATGGCATGAACCTATAGTTTCTGGAAAAGGAAAAAAATATTACAAGGTGGATGTTGGACATGAGGAATTGCTTAATTGAACAAAGCTCTTTCTCTTTGGTACGATTTGATTATTCCCTTGGAATTGTATCCAGCTGCCAAGGGGACCCAGACGAGAGCAAGCACAAAATTATAAACGAACTGTGGAGTTTTCCCTCTCCCGTGTTATGTGATCCCAACAGATTAAGAATATTTTCTGGCCAAAAGAAAAAAAAAATCATACTGTATATCGTTTGGCTTGCACGGTAGAAACAAAAATAGTACAAATAGGACACTAGAAAAATACCTATATCAAATATATCCTTGTTCATTCGTGGTTACTTCATTTTTAGCTCCTATACAGAAACAAATACCTATATATCAAAACAATGATGCATACCTAAACGGAAATTCTTAATAAAAACATTATTTTTGCTGGCACTTGATAATTAAAAACACTGACCGGCGAAAAAAATATGGAGATGTGAGGAATCGAACCCCAAACCTATATCAAGCATTACGATATCTCTCTACCAATTGAGCTACATCCCCAACTATTATTTACTGATGTATTATAATTGATTTTATAAGCTTTTTATGTTCTTTTTGTACTTCCACAAGAATCGCAACGGAACAAGAGTACCTCCAAATTCCGCTTTCGGTGCTAGAGAATATAATCACCGTCCAACAACTTTCAAAACCTTATCAGCGAGACCATACAATGTAGTGTGTTGCGGCCATTATACTATTCCAAGTATTTGGGCATTTTATCGTCAATCGAGCGTTTAAGGTCAGTTTGGATTTTAAGTTTGCAGCTCATTTCTTTTCACAAAGCCAATTTGCAGCTACCCAAGCAGCATGTGACAGCATTAGTACGTAGTAGCTCTACTCCAAGTGCCCATGTTACTTCAGGTTGTGCCATCTACCCGTGGACCAAGAGCAAGAAAGGCCAAGAATGTTCCAATGATTGTAAAGGAGAAAGAGCCCGGCAATGAGTTAACTTGGCCAACTGATAGTTAGTCAAATCTGTGTACTTGAGAGACAGATGGTCCTTGGCCAACCTTTTCTTCCATGTGGAGACCCACTTGCAGCTAGTTAATGGTGCATTGTTTATTCTTAACTCGATCATTGCATGCGTTTTCACTTGTTATAGACTTATAGTATGTTTAACATTTAACAAGCTAGTCTCTCGTGCATATAATGTCCTCAGTTGCAGCAAGCTTCAGAGCTGAAACAGATGAAGATTTCAGTGTCTGGAAACTGAATCGGAACAATGGATTTGTGCGGTCCAAATTTGATGTCCGGTGTCCAGAGCGCAGAGCTTCTGCTGTCACAAGGAGAGGGAGTTAATGGAGTATATACATTGTCATCTGAATCCGGATTTGTGACGTAGTACTTGCCATACATGGATCGAGCACACAGTATAGCGGACAATGCCGATCTAAATCTGCTGCAGTGCACTATTGTACGCACAACCAAATGAGATTCTCTTAACTATCCTAGCTAACCGCCCAATCTGATCACATGACAGTGCCTCCAGTTTATACCGCCGGATATGAACAAACAGATACTACTATTCTCATTACATGTGACCAGATTGCGCTATTGTAGTCAAGGATGAATCTCACATGGTCGGCGTTTAGGACTTTGATTGTCTGAATTAAAAAGGGAACATTTGACCAGATGGATAACCATAGACATAGGTACACGTACTTGCAAGATGATATTCCGTTATGCATGCAAAAAAAGAGTCCTCAACAAATCAAAATTTAGGGGAAGAGAGAAAAAAAAAATATTGGAGATGTGAGGAATCGAACCCCAAGCCTCTATCTAGCATCAAATAGTGCTCTACCAATTGAGCTACATCCCCAATTTTAGTTAATTATCCAATATAATTTAATTTATTATTTTTCATAGTGCAATCACCATCTGATGAGTACAACGTGGCTCTCTTCTTTGCTACTGGATCCGCTGCATGCACGCATCCCTAGCAAATACCGACGCGAGGATTCGTGGGCTAATGGATTCATAGATCAAGTCCGGCGGACGTAGCTCGTCGCCGGCAGACTCTTCCATGACTTCCATCTACTGCTCGACCGCGGCATGCAAGTGGGGCATTTTATTTTTTTTCTTAATTAAATTGGAACCCTGTGTTTGTTCTACTGTAGAGAATTGGCGAAAAGTTGTTCTGCAGAGATTGTACCGTCAAGAGAATGTTTAAGATCAAGTTGGAGATGCAAGATATTCCGTTACGGAAAAACAGAATCCTCAATAAAATCGGAATGTTGAGAAAGAGAAAAAAATCAGAAAAGGGACCAGATGGATAACCATACGTAGCTTGGAAAATAAGCAAACAATTGTGAAATAGGAAAAATAAAAAGGTTGGAGATGTGAGGAGTCGAACCCCAAGCCTCTATCAAACTTCTGAATAGTGCTCTACCAATTGAGCTACATCCCCAAATTTACTTAATTATGCAGTATAATTATATTTATTGTTTTTTTTTTTGCAAGCATTATTTTCGATTTCCATCCAAGGCCCCAAGTGCCGCTACATAAGTTGCAGGTACATTAGAGATTGCGCAGGAACCCAGTCCGAAAGTTTAAGATCAAGTTGGAGGTGAAGTTTTCAGAGCACAGATAGTTCGCAGCTCATTATTCCTCAAAAAGTTCACGGTTCAATTCAGAAGGTAGCATTTTCAGTCATCCAATGGAAAGGCGGACTGGTAGTATCCTTAGTCCAATGACCCATGTTACTTCAGCATGCCATGCATCTACCACTCTTGTCCACGAGCAAAAGGGCCAAGGATGTTCCAATGATTGCAGAGGAACCATGCACGACTAGAAGGAGCAAGGGCATTACTTAGACAGCAGGCCGGTCAAATCCGTGGAGCTTGAGAGACAGTTGGTCCTTGGCCAACCTCTCTTCCATGTGAAGTGACAATTGCAGTCAGTTAGTGGTGCATTGTTTACTCTGGACTCGATCGTGGCATGCGTTTTCATCTGGTTACAAAGCTAATCCTCTTGCATGCAATATCTGCTTCAGCGACACAAGTAGGTTTTAGTATCAACAGTGAATCGGAATGTTGGATATGTCCGGTCCAATTTTACTCTGTTGTCCAGAGCGCCGAGCAAGTGCGGTTACGAACGTAGGAGCACGGCATCTGTTCGTGATACGTCTGTGACCTACTGTCCGTACATCGTTCGCAATGCATAACGATCTGAATCTGAAGCTTGGTACATTATTGTTTGCCCAGCTAAATGAGATTATCTTAACTATCCTAACTACTCTCCAAGTCCAAGAAGCAAATTTCAGATCTGATCACATGATGGTGACAAGTCTCAGCTAAGCTGCTGAATCGACTGAAGCGGCTTCAGTTTTTATAACGCCGGATATGAACAAATACCGGTCATTATTAGTCAAAGACGATGATCACATGGTCGGCATTTAGCACTTTCATTAATTTGTACTGAAAAAAAAACATTTGAACAGATGGATACCATAGACGTTGAGGGAGAATGACAGGAGAAAATCCAATACTCCATTCGCAAAAAAGGATTAAAATTTTGTTTTTGGAGATGTGGGGAATCGAACCCCAAGCCTCTATCAAGCGTTCAATAGTGCTCTACAAATTGAGCTACATCCACAACTTAATTAATTTCACAATATAACTCATTTATTTTGTTTTAGTTATCATCATGCAAATGTCATTTTGTTTTAGTTATCATAATGCATCTACATGCTACTTCTGCCTGGCAGTATAGAAGGAGGTTCGCGTATGCCGACAGGGGCAGTGCCCCCCCCCCCCCCCCCCCCGCTGGAGGCAGTATAGTTTCTTTGTTTTTTTTTCCCCCCCTTTGCGTGAATGGAACACGGCAATTGTGGTATATACAAGTACGAATTAATATCAATAACTTTCGTCTTATGTTTGGATCTTTTTGACTAGCTCAAGAAACGGAAGTGTACGTCAAGACTTTTAGTCCAAGAGAATCAAAGTGTACTATAGGCCCTTTTCCCTGCAAAATTAAGAAATTGATGCAGATCTCAGGGTGACATGTTCACACAGCTCGGCCATATGATTCACGGCTCGCCTTGTGCTCCACTCCACTACTAAAGATATGGGGAAGAAGAGCAGCATGTTCTCTGCATGTTCCGGCAAGTGGAAGGAGCGTGCTTCCACTCGCTGACATCTTAACTGCCAAGCACAATATATATACAGGTTACAGTTACTAACATTCCAAGTCCAAACATCAGACACAGACATTCTGCATCGATCACCCCCCAGGCCCCAGCATCCTCTGGATCTACCACTCCACTCCTGCCTCCGCTCACAAGCCACAGCTCAAGTCTCTGCAGAGATGAAGGTTCTACGCAGCAGTGGGATCATGAGCGCCATGCTCTTGCTCCATCTCCTCCTCCAGTGTACTACTGCGAGTACAGAAGCATCATCAACCATATTGTCTCATGGCAACAATGCAGAGGTACAAGGTTGGGTGCTGCGTCGTCCTGGGGCTAGGAGGTTGCTGCGGCTGCAACCGGCGGCAGCGGCCACGGCCACCAACACCTTCCATGTCAAGGAAAACGGCGTCCATCAAGCGATGACAAAGCCGGCCAACGGCAAGGCGAACATGGAGTTCAACGCCAGCATGAGGCCCGCGCCCCATAGCAAATCCAATCCCAGGCAGAATTAGCTCTTATCTTCCAGCCAATCCGTGGAGATCTGGAGTTTTTGGAGGCGATGGCATGAAGCAAGCAGCTTGATGTTCCTTCTCTTCTTCCCTTCAGTAGCTCGCTAGCAAGCAATTTTTGTACTTACTTATTAGATGTCATTCGTTTCTTGTAGATGGTACTAACCTGATGTATAGGAGACCGGCAGGCACGACCTGCCTTGCAGGTAATTTTACTGCATAGTGCTAGATCCAAGCGTCTAGTTATGCTTAGGGGCCATAGTGAGTGCTCGTTTCGTTCTGACATTCCATGAGATGGAATTGGGGAAAATGTGCCGGTTTCTCTCCATTGATGCCAACTTGGCATCAGTTTGTGCATGATATTCACTTTCTTCCTCTGATCACCGTTGCTGCTTGTCTAGGAAGCAATAACAAGGTTCGATTAGTTATGGTGTGTTCAGTTCTGATTTACATAACTTTCTCACAATGGACCGAAGACTTGACCATTGTACAAAAATATCTGCAGCAACAGGCATTCGTAAATCTACAATGATGGTCACCTCAACAGGACAGCAGCTTATTCATCAAGATCATCTTTGTTAATTTCATCTCATTTAAAACACCATTCCTTGCTTTAAACCAGCCATTATGCAGAAACCAAAGGAAAACAACAATTTGAACTAAACTCTAATAAAAATTAATAAACAAACTTGAACAAAACGACATATTTGCAGTTCACACCATATCTATGAGACTATGACCAGTAAGTTTACAGATGTTTCAGCCCTAAAACTGTTCTAGCACTGGGCAACTCTTAAGCAACAATGTTACTGTCTTTTTGCCTCAGGTCAAGGAGCAATGTAAATAACCAAAAAAGAAAGAAAAAAAAGCCTGGCTACACATGAACAGAAAGAGTAACAAAGTACTCTCTCAAGACCAAAAGGAACAGTTATACATCACGAAAGATGCATGCCTATTCTACGAATCTTTCCGATTCATGAGCATCGGTCCTGCTTTTCTTGCAGGACCAGTCAACTAGAAGCTCAAAGCTTGAGGATTACTGTTTAATATACAAAGCTTGCACTTTGCACAACCTTGTGCTGCATTTATAGCCGATTGCCATTGAATCACTGTCGTTGGACAGACGGAGATTGCTGAACCTGCACTGGTGGGAAGAACCCAATGCCTGATGACTGAAAGAATCCAGCTGATGTTGATGATTGCTGTGGTGCCTGCGGCGACTGCTGCTGGGGTAGGCTCTGAGCTGGTGGAAGCGGAGGTGGAGGCGGTGGCCCACTGGGTCTTGGGAAACCTGTCGGCAGAATGTTGGACAAGGGAGGCGGAGGTGGCATAGTGCCACCCATCATACTGAAAGGTCCCATTCCAATCATTCCTCCAGTATTTTGGGCAAATTGTTGCATAAGGGGTGGCAATAGAGATGGCAAAGGAGGCGGAGGCGGTGGAAATGAACCTGGTGCCTGGTTTGTCGGTGTTGGTGGTTGCGTCCCTCCAACAGAAGTTGGTACTGCTCCAATCTGTTGTTGCACCTGTGGCACTTGACCGAAAAAGGAAGGAGTCCCCATGTCACCTGCCTGCGTGGGTTTCTCAATCCTAGGCCTCTTTTCGAGCTGGAAGCCTGGTGGTCCTCCAGAGAGTTCTCCAGAAGAAGACCCACTGTTCATGGAAGCAGCATGCTCAGCTGCAAGGGAACTAAAAATGGAGGACAGCACCTGCTCAGGTGCTGACAAAGACGCAAGCTTATCTGCCATGGCTGCCGCTGTTTTTTTGGGCTCATCACCAGCTACACTGACTGTAGGAGCAATCATGATTGGGCTAGAATTAGATCCTGCACCATTTATTACATGGGCACCACAAAGACGTTGTCTTTTTTGCAAAATTTGTTCAGCTTCTGCTCGAGCAACCTGTTTTAGAGATTGACTCAGCAATTAACCACATATCACATTGTTATATTATCGTATAATTGCAGTGGCAGAGAAGATACTACAAACAACGTACATGATACTGTAGTAGCAATCTTAGAGAAAGTAAAATGCACCCGCACAAAAAAAAATCACAAAAAAATAGCAACAAGTTTGCAGGGAAGAACAAATAGAATTCTGGAGCAGAGTTATCCCTGCAAGAATTCTGTACCAAACTAGACATATGTAACGACAAATATACTTGGCTCCATCAACATAGGAATCCAGACTGGGAGATGTCAGGACATCAGCCTGGTTGGTTGATGCTGCAGGATGCAAATCAATTTACTCAAGATGCTAAACTGCTAATGAAGTAGTCTCATTGAGCATTTTCAACATGTTTGCCTTTAAGAAAAATGTGACTACATTATCTTCTCCATACATTTGTGCATATCCACTGTTCCTTTCTAATTGTATTACCACTATTCATACACATAACTTCACGAATTCGAATCCATTTACAAAGCAAAACTCCAAACATTTCATGGGACAAAACGTGGGTGCCATCGGGATTCAAGTCGACGTGAACAGAAGGCAGAAAGGATATCCTAGCGACTTAACGAGAAAACTTACAGAAACAAGAAAACTCTTGGTACTATGTTGTATTTCTGGCATAATAAAAGCCTATCTAATTGGGTGTTAACTGTTAAAAGTAGAGCATCATAATAAAAGCCATGTGATTGGGAAATATCAAAATAGTGATCAAAAGACAAGAACATATTTGCAAAAGGAGAGAAGGGGAGAGAGGAAAATAACATGAACGGGGGTGCAAAAGAATAGCTCTTACTTGCAACTGACTGCGAACAAGCTCTGACTTCAATTCCTGTTATATAAACAAGAAAGCATAAAGTTCAGAGATGATAGTACGAGGCATTGAATAAAAAATGGAACTGCTAAAGTTTTTTGTTAAGAAAAGAAGTGCTTCAGACCTGTTCAATGAGGGCTTCTCTTAGTTGACTGATCAAAGTTGCCCTTGCTGTATCGACACTTTCAAGTTGTTCAATACACTGCTTTAGGATTGTTTCCTGTTCTTGAAGGTCGGAGATCAATGATGATCCTTGTTGAATACCTTAAGAAAAAGAAAAAAAAATACAGGCCAAAACAGCGTGTTGCATAAGAATGGGACCAAACTTTCTTGGAAGGCAGTTACCATGACATTAAAGAACTAGTGAAGCAGGCAAATCTCACCATTGTTACAAGCATCGTCGACATCTTTATTCATCTTCTCCAAAACATCAACAGTACTCTTACATTTATTTAATGCAGTGTCTTCATCAAAATGTTTATCAAGTACACTTTGATATGCCCTTACAATCTTTTCAGGCATCCCGCCGACAGTAAGTTTCTACAGTAGAGGATCATGAACATAGAGGCAATTCGAAAGTCATTTAGTATGCTAAATCCACCCCAAATACAAGGAAACAAAGTGTGCTACAGAATTATAGGGAACTTACTTTTATTGTTGTACTTGAATCCTTCCTTGCAGATTTGGAACTTGATGAGGGATTAGAGGCAGGATCTGAGTTTTTCCCATTGCTATCCAATGTAGGAAGGCTGCCACCAAGAATGTCATCTTTCAAACTTTCGATTCGTGTTCCAAAAACCTTGCGTTCGTCCCAAATCCCTATCTGCAGTTCAAAAGAAAAGGATTGAGAAACTTAATTTCCAATTGTGGACTTGTGATCACAACAATGAAAGAAATGATAATGGCCTCTGTCACTTATTCCATGATTAATGATCAAGCCTCAATGCACTATGGTGCCCTAATAGTCAACATTACTCACCAAATTTTGCAGTAAATCTTCGTACACAGCATAGGCTGGAAGTCCTAAGCAAAAGTCTGATAGAGAGGCCCCATGCAAGTAATTAAATACTTAAGGACAGGGGGGCAAGTTTGTATACAACTGAATACAAAACAAGAGAGACCTCTGAGAAAAGTATGCATTCATCAAACCTATGCCTCTTGGAAACATATGTCTAGGACCTAAAAGTATATTCATT